AGAAACCTCTAATATACTGAAATTCTGAAACTGCAACTTCATACAGAAAAAAAAAAAAAAAGACATACTATAAAACTCCAGGCCAGGCATACCCCAAGCTTTATCATATTTTATATTGGAAAACTCAACTGAAATGCACATATAACACTATAATTTCCACTTAAACCATTTTGAAACTACATAAAACCAAGTTTGCTTTGTCTATACAGGACAAACTCCAAACCAGACAAAAGACAATCCAAAAGTGTCTAAAATAAAGTCCAAAAATACTAAAACTGCATAAACCAAGTTTGCTTTGTCTATACAGAACAAACTCCAAACCAAATAAAAGATAATCCAAAAGTGCCTAAAATAAAGTCGATGGAAAACACATACAAAAATAACAAATCCAATGAAATACAAGAGAGAATAAGTGATAAAGAATAAAAAAAAAAGATAATAATTTAAATAAATTAACAAAACAAAAATAAAGAAATTATGTGTAATCAAGACAAAAAAGTTTAAATTAGAAAATAAATTCAAAAATCATGAAAAATATTAAAATAATTCAATAACCCAAATAAAACCACGTGATCGTAACTATATACTGTTGAATCTACATATAAACATGAACAAAAGTTGTTTAAAAAAATACACCAAACAATAAAAACCTCAAATTGACTATTGAAGTCCGCAAAAGTACTTTTTCATTGACACACTTGCAAACAAAGGTTTTAGGGTTTTTATATTATATTAAAAAGGTGTTGAATAGTCAAAGATAACAAAGAAGAGTGGGAAAAGTTGTGAGACCCACCTATTATGTGGAGGGAAACTGCTCCGCCCAATATGCCATGTTAGAAAATATTTTTTATTGTCAACCTTACTGGTCCAATTGGCATGCCACATATTGAGGGAGTAACAGACCGCAACGGACAGTCAAGTGAGAATTGACGGATGTTAAGATTCCATCCAATTGGGTCCTAATTTGAGAGTTTGTGTGAGTTCAAGACCTTAATTGAGTGCAATAAATGTTAAGAACCTCAATTGAGAATTTAGTAGAAGTTAGGGTCCTTTTCCAATACTTAAGCCTATTTTATATCTGATCTTGTCATTTCCAGATTGGTATTAGCTATGCGTC